AAGAAGATCACTCAACGAACTTACCGTTCTTACATTGTCCTCCAACAATTTTCCTACACTGTTGACTAGATCCGTGAAACTCGGCCGTAGAGAAGGCTCGGCCTTCCAACACTGACACATTATGTCGTATCTAGAGATGATAAATTGCAAAGCATGAGTTATCGATTACAAATTACAGTACACGTACGGTCGTCGTACGATTAACAACGCTGATACAGTTGACCTTGTCATTGGGAAGATTTGAAAATTTGCATTCGACATAACGCCCGCGGGTCTAGTATGTAAGCTTACGGGAAAGTTAGTTTAAGGGAAACCCGCGGCAGATTAGGCACGGTAAGGAGTTCGCGAAGCCTCTGCAAGCAACAGTTTCTGTCGACGGACGAACCCTAGATGACGTCTGGCAGCTCAAAGTTGTGCAGCTACTCGATGAAGCACATTAGTTGACATATGTTTAGAAAGTCAGGCATCTTTAAACTGTTGCCTTTAACTTGCTTTCGAATATAACTGACAAGGCACAGTTCCAAATCTTTCCCAAATAAAAAATCGTGAGTGAACCTACACTTCGGGCGTGGCATATTCTGGCTGCTCCATTCTGTAACCCTCGATCAGCTTTTGGTACACTATATTCGTCTCCATTCCAGGATACGGAGTCTCTGCCAATGTGAAGAACTCCCATAACACTATGCCGAACGACCAAATGTCCGATTGAGTGGAGAAAATTTGATCTCTCATAGTTTCGATGGCCAACCACTTAATGGGCAATGGACAGTCACTTTTCTTTTTGTAAATTTCTTCTTTGTACATGTTCTTGGCCAGACCAAAGTCGCATATCTTTACCACATTGTTATCGGCCAGCAGGACATTTCTAGCGGCCAGGTCACCGTGCAGTATCTGCAAATTCATTTTTACGAAACGGTGTATGCGATCACACATTTGTCCACGAACTTATGTTCGATGCAAATGAAACTTTTTGAAAATCATAGTTTTCTGTTCAATTATTTTATATTTATATAAAATTACCAAGCACGTGAAAACGTGAATAGAGTCTCGAAAATGATTGATATCTTTATTTTCATTTGTCTATAAGAAATGTTTCGGTTGGAAAGAGAAGTTTTCTCTATAATCCTGCTTTGATAGAATTATGTGCGAGAAGAAAACGCAGGAACTCACTTTTCTCTGGCTGATATATTCCATTCCACGAGCTACTTGGAACGCCCAGGACAACAGATCCTGCGTGCAAATTGGTTTTAAGTTAGAGTCCTTGTAGTCTCCCCGACAGTTGGACCAACCAGGTTGAGTTGAAGCGCTATTAAGAACGGAATCACCTGCTGACATATCGACTCCCTGGGAATCTGTAGCTGGCGCGTGACACTGCACCGAATCAGATTCAGAATTGCGGTTGTTACTGAAACAAGATGACAATTCCGCAGATTTTACCCTATCGCGCAGACAGAGAAGAACAGAAAAGCGCGAGCACCGCAACCCCTTGCATGCACCAGTAGTTTCATCGTGTTAATCACCGGAAGCAAATAGTTGCATTTCGATGCATGAAACGATACTGTTACGTCCCTATTAATTTACTTATCCATTTGAGCAGTATGAATGTGTTCGGCAGAATCGTTGACAGTGGGTTGTTAACGCATATATGGATATCCACATAACCATTTAATTTGGACGTAGAACGCTTATATGGCTTGTGATAAAACCAATCTGGATTATGAACACATATACAGGGTGTCCCAAAATTGTTGTACAAGCGAGAAATGAAGGGTTTCTGAGATTATTTGAAGTAACTTTTTCCTTAGCGAAAATGCAATCCGCGGCTTCGTTTACGATATATTAACGAAAAACGATATATTAACAGAAAGTGTAACATTGGCCTGTGTGGAGTGGATAATTACAGACTCAAAGTAACTTTTACATTGTTACTGATATCTAAACGAAAACTTAAGAAAACATCGTATTTGCATATTTCTATTTTCTATTATTTCTGATATAGAAATATACAAATATAACGTTTCGTTAACTTCATTTTAAATACATAAGATGTGTTTCAGTTAAAGGAGACCACCTACAGTGCTGTGAATAATTATAAACTAAAAGTAACTTCTACATTTTTAGTGATATTTAAACAAAAACGAAAAACAAGTTATAATTGTATATTTCTATTATCTATTAATTGTAATATAGAAATGTACAAACATGGCGTCTTGTTAAGTTTTCGTTTAAATATCACAAGAAATGTAAAAGTTACTTTGAGTCTATATTTATTCACATCACTGTATTGAACCCCCTGCTTCGAGATTTACCACACAAAACAAAGTTGTTAAATTTTCAATTCAAAGGATATAATTTACTATTTTTTATATTATTATCTATGTTATTATTGTTTATGTTCATGTTATTATTGTTTAAAGAAATAAGTGGTTCTGTTAAGGTTTTTGCAGTTACTGGTCAAATTATTTCAGTTACAATAGTATATTTTGCAATGAAATTTCAAAATTAGTCCCCAGACTAATTGTATTTAATGTGATATCTAATCACAATTTTAAATCAGGTAAACAGTGCAACAATTCGTTCTTTAGAGGAAGGAAGGGACACCAGCTAACCTACATAGCATTCTATAATTCAATAATCACAGAGTTACAGGAAGGAAAAATTACATCAACGAACCTGTTAGTGACGCATACACCGCCAATTTTCGTCAGCAAGCCGATGCTGAGATCTAATTTGCCAGACACTGGATCGATCTGATTGATAAAGCTGCTTCTATGCCTCAATAAGTAACTGTGCAAATTACCAAATCGGCAGAATTCAACGATGACCAACAATTCGTCTGGAGAATCAACAGAAATCACTTATAAACGATATTGATTATTGCAAAGAAAATACAGTGAACAGAGCTGAACAAAGTAATTTCTTGAACTTGCAAGCAACTTAGAGCGTCGAGCAACAAATTTTGTGAAAGCGAAATAAGATGGTTATAGGAACTAGCGAATACAAAAAACTGTGTTCTTAAATGGTAATTAATAATTTTCACATGAATATATGTATATGCTTTGAAATTTGATGCTAATTTACATGAAAAATGATACTTTCGGTCCTATCTAATCCCTAAATTAATTAACGGATAGAGGACGCACGTTTCAAGATATTTTTTGTGCAGGCGCCAAGAAGGTTGACAACGTTCAGGTGTTTGCCAAGGTGTACCATGATCTTGAGTTCGCTGGCAAGTGCACAGATATACACGAGATTGGGAGCACGGCGAACCATTTTCACAGCAACAGTAGTTTTCTCCTCGCCTTCGCAAATGCCCGAAGCTTCCGCTTTCAAGACTACGCCGAACGCGCCACTTCCCAAGTGTTTTCCTGTCAATTGTTGTCACATAGCCAATGCCGAAAATTATCATTAATTATTATTATTATTATTATTATTATTAATTAGCAAAATCTACTTCGTTCATCTAACATTGTTATTTGTTTTTCAATAGCCAGCAGATAATTCTTAGAGATCAAACCTCGATCACAAATCCGGAAGGTATTTTTCTAATCACAGAAAAAAGGTCGAATTTTCACGAGTACAAAATCTTTTCTGAGTCGACTGCGAGTGATACGGTGGTAATTATTAATTACGATGATTATGTATACTTTCTCATTACAATAAAAGATTTTTGTATAACATTGGATCTGTTTGAACCTACTGAAACAATGCTTAAGCGAAACAACTTCGAAGTAAAAAGCAATTTAAGACACCAACTTTATCGAACTAATTCAACATTTTCTTTGTAAGTTGTAAGTATGAAGACGAATATTGGTATTCTCAGCAATAGAAGTGACTTTTTTCCAGCGGGAAGTCTCAAGAAACGATCTTGAATCGAATCTTACCTAATCTCAATCTTTCCTTTGGAAATTCCCATTTGTTGTCGTACGGGAGCAGATATGCCTGATCGTCTACCGTTAAGTCCGGATTCAAATTCTCGACGCCTCCCTCCTCGAAGTGCAAAAAGGCAGCTTCCAGTAATTTCCTTTTCTTCATCTGCAACACCATTGGTGAAATTCTTATCTAATCAAATGGCGCTGCGTAATAATACAAAAGTGTAGTTACCCTATCACTATGGACTTTCAGAGCGACGTAGATCACCAGGATCAGAACGGTCACTGCTAACATGACAAGCAAAATGATCACACCGACAGGAATTCTGAACCCTGTTAATTAAAGCAAGCGTAAAATAAACATTTCATAAATCCGCGCCTCTTCAGTGCCCGATATAATAAATTACCTTTTATCATTATTTGTTGAAAAACTTCGACTTTTCCAATTCGATTCTCCGCTCGACACATATACTTGCCGCTGTCGATCTCCAATGGATATTCTATTTCAACTTTTTGGGAGTTGTTGGAAAACATGTGTTTTTCGTTGCTAATTAACAACCGTCTACCGTCCTGACAAAAGTATGTCGATTTTCAATAACTTGCTTCAAAACAAATGTGTGTGCCCGAGTATAGTATAATGATCAATTCGTGAGATAGTGAAATCGGGAAATAGTAAAATAATAAAGTAATAAAATAGTAAACTAGTAAAATAGTAAATAAAATATAAACCATAATATCGTGATCTTTATAATTAATAATAATTTATATAATTATAATAATTATAATAAATTAAAAATTTATATTAAATTTATATGTCGATTTTCAATAACTTGCTTCAAAATAAAAATGCCCGAGTATAGTATAATGATCAATTCGTGAAATAGTGAAAAAAGAAAAATCGGGAAATAGTAAAATAATAAAGTAATAAAATAGTAAACCAGTAAAATAGTAAATAAAATATAAACCGTAATATCGAGATCTTTATAATATAATATAATAATTATAATAAACTAAAAATTTATATTAATTAAATTTATATTAAAAAAAATTTATATTAAATTTATATTAAAAATAATATATATATTAAATTATAATAAATTATAATATAATAATTTTTAAGCGCTTACCTTAAACCAACTAATGCTCGGTTTAGGCTTACCATCCGCGAAACAGTAAAAATCTACCGCCTTGCGACCTCGTGTGTTAAGGTCGATGATTGTCTCGCCGTTCTTCAAATTGGTATCGGTAATAATAGGCGCTTGTGCAGCTAAAACGAAACTAATATTATACATATAACAGTACACTGTTTAATCTTTGTAAGAATTTGAATTTCCAATTACCCTGCACTTCCAAACGATATCCGGTGGATCGAGTCAAATTACCCGCGAACTTCACGCTACAGATATATTCCTGCGAGTCCTCTATTTTTACGTTGTGTATCTTCAAAATTGTTTTGTACGTGAACTGCGTTTTTCCCCGATCGATAGAGTATCTGTCTAATTGTTTAAATATATTATTTTCGGTTCGTTTAATTTCTCGTTGAACGTTATCGGTCTTTAAAATTTCTTGTAGAAAAGGAAACTCTTTAGCACGCATTTCTTAGCGTGTATATCGAAAGTACAATTACCAGATTGCACAATTGGACCATCTTCGTTGTGCCAATCAAAGTTGTCCGAATAATTACGCATCGAAGCAGCGCAGATCAGCCCCCATTCGTCACCTTCTATCACTGGGTCCTTCGTAAGAATGATGCCGAATTCACCGACTTCATCTAAAATATTTTTAAACACACTGTAGCATCCAAAAAAAAACGTGGTCAATAGGAGAATGTCCACGAGGTGTAAAAATTACGCGAACTTTCCGATAGCATAGTTAATGAGCATTCTAAAGGGACATATTATAACATAATTAATTAATCAAGTAAAAACTTATCTCGTCTCTTAATATTTTCATAGCATTTTTGGATTAAATTCGCAGTCTAGTTATGATGCAAATGCGTTCTGGTTTGCTGATCGTAAACTATGAATCTCGTCCTGTTCTTACCGGAAACAGACACGCTATTGGTGACAGTGTTGCAGCCAGCACTGTTGCACGCCTCGCAAGTAAGCTCACCAGACATTTCAATCACCGTCCACATTGTAGAGACCAGCTGAATCACGGTTCCCTCTTCTTTGGAATTCTGTACGAATGTCCCATGATTTAATTAATCGGCGGCAATCGGTGGTACGAGTTTACATGGACTTCAATCAACGTTAAACCATCGAGTCCATGAGTTCACGTTCATGGAAAATGAGGGAATCAATATCTTCATTCAAACATACATGGTGTAAAGCGTATATGTATATTGGGTTGGCAGGAAAGTAATTTCGATATTTCAATGTGAAATAAAACTCAACTTTTTTTATACAGAAAATGAACTTTAATCAGTCAAATATTTTCCATTCTGTTCGATGACCTTTTGACATCTTTCTGGTGATTTCATGTTTCCGCACTCATAAAACTTCTGGTCCTTATTAGTAAAAAACTCAATCAAGTGTGATTTGAGGCTATCGTTATTATTGAAATTTTTACCATTTAAAAAGTTTCGTAAACTTCGAAATAAATGATCATCCGATGGTGCAAGATCGGGGCTATATGGAGAATGCGACATCACTTCCCAATTAAACTCTAATAATTTTCTACATGTTGCTAAAGATGTATGAGGCCTCGCATCGTCGTGGTGGAACACGATTCCTTTGCGATTTACCAATTCTGCCCTTCTCATTTTGATTGCTTCCTCCAATTTCATAAGTTGCTGGCAGTAAACATCCGAGTTGATCGTTTGGTTGCTTGGAAGCAGCTCAAAATACACAACACCTTTCTAGTCCCACCAAACTGACAGCACGATCTTTTTCTGTTGTGATTCAGATTTCGATATGGTTTGTGTTGGTTCATCACGCTTGGACCATGACCTTTCTCGATTAATGTTATTGTAAACGATCCATTTCTCATCACCAGTGATAATTCGTTTGAAAAAAGGGTCGATCGCATTACGTTTAAAATGCGTATCGCAAATACCGATTCGTTGTGTTAAGTGAATTTCTTTCAATTCATACGGAATCCAAACATCGAGGTTCTTAACAAGTCCAAGACATCTTATATGATATTCAGTTGTTGCGTGCGATACATTTAACCTTTTTGCAATCTCTCGTACAGTTATACGACGATTCGATTCAATTGTGGCTTTGATTTTGTCATCAACTTCAGAACGTCGACCAGTACTTTGGTCATCTTCAAGTGAAAAATCTTCAGAACGAAATTTGTTGAACCAATTCTGACATGTGTGTTCTGTTAAGTAATCGACGCCATAAACTTCACATATCTCTTTGTGAGCTTTGGCCACTTTCTTACCTTTATGAAAATAAAAAAGTAAAATGTGTCGAAAATGTTCATTTTTGCACATTTTTGCACATGTTAAAATTGACAAGAAACTATCAGATGTAAACAAAACTGCACGGAATTTGTTTCTATAGCAACCGAAACGTGTCAACTACCAAAGCTGAAGACAGAAAATTATAACTTTTAAAATTAATTATATATAATTATAATTTTATATTTATATTATATATAATTATAATTTTTAAAATTATAACAAAAGAATGACAATGCAAACATAAGGCTATCTATTAATGCAAACCGAAATTACTTTCTTGCGAAACCAATACAATCAGTGACGATACGTTATCGGAGTTTGGTGTTAAAAACATTGCGTACCGTTAAGTACTCGAGGGTGCCATCGTCGCAAGAAGGATAATTGGGACACTTGCGGTAACTCCAGGTAATATTCGGCTTCGGGAACGCTTCAACATGGCATTCTAGCTTTGTCACCTGATTAGGGAAGTAATACGTATTCGGTTTGCTCATGTACAATTTTGGTCTAGCTAGAAGATTCATCTTCGATTAGACCGGACAATCACAGATTAACATTCATCACATTTTGTTTCTGAACGACGAAAATAACGTACCTATTACGTCCAACATAAAGTTCAATGTTTCCTTGTTATAGCTATTGCTGGCTTGGATGGAATATGTTCCCATGTCATTTAAATCCAAACTATCGATTTCCAATATCGACTTATACAATGTAACGACAAATGGATATTTGGATTTCTGAGGTATCAACAAACTCGTCATTTCGTTGCCATACGTATTCAACCTGCAAAATAAAACTTTGGATGTCGAGACGTCGAAGAAATGATAACTGGACTGCAAATCCTTGTGCAATGTGATCATCTTCAGCTTCCATTGGGAAAAAGCAGGGACTGCTGGAAAATGATGCAATCGAGTTCTCAAAATCTTCAGTTTCCTTTATCCGTTTGAAGAGACCACAATCGAAAATTGGTTATTTAAATCTGTGATGCTATTAAATGTTCATAGAAATGACGCAGAGTACAGTAATGTCTCTCTAATTGACGCTCAGATTGTCCACAAAAATGGACAATTTTGGAAGACAAGATTCGAGCCTTGTTGCTCATTTTGTATGATTATCGATTGTCAACAACTATAAAAACGAGTTGCAAGGTTCGAATAATCGTGTCTCCTCTTCCCAAATTGTCCATTTCTGTGCAGAATCTGTGAGCGTCAGTAAGGGAGACATTACTGTAGTTTAGAAATATAATATATGTATACGTATTCGGCTTAATTTATTTTCTGTTGCTAGTGGTTCGATTGAAAACTTTTCGAGCTAAAATGACATGGTTTAAGGAGAGCTTTAAGATGATCGTACGAAATTTTTTGATAATCTTTTTTTCGCGGAGATATTATTTTTTAAAGGTAAACCTATAGTTTCTTCGTATACGTTCCGAAAAAAAGCTATATGTTATGATGCTTGCCGAATTCGGTTCAGCATCCCCTAATCGATGGGCACAATAAAATTGTAGATCGGCCTATAAAAAACTAAAGGTGACTTTAACAATACCGGAAAAAAAATACTAACAAAAAATTTGATGCCACCACCTCAAAGCTCTGCTTGAACCTCTGTTTTTAGGTGAACAGAATAAATTGAGCTGATCACGTTGCGCGGTTCATCCCGTAGAATGTGATGTTATTTAAAGAGTTCCGAGATACCATTGCACATCAGGCGGAGGATACGCGTCTACGTCGACAACCCACTGCAATGGATCACCTTCATGACGTGTATAATATCTGTTAGGATCCCAAGACGTTATCTTCATGAATGGAGGGGGCCGTTCTAAACATTCGATAAGCAGAAACTGTGCTGGATGATGCTGGTTTTATACAAAGCGCATCTAAAACGCGTTATCTTTATGTATTGGGTTGTAAAAGAAAGTAATCTCGGTTTGCATCAATAGATAGCGTGTTATGTTTGCATTGTCATTCTTTTGTTAAGGTTAAATTCTGTTGTCGTCAGTTTTGGTAGTTGACACGTTTAGGTTACTGTAGAAATAAATTCCGCGTAGTTTTGTTTACGACTGATAGTTTCCTGTCAATTTTAACATATGCAAACATGTGCAAAAATGAACATTTTCGACACATTTTACTTTTTTATTCTCATAAAGGTAAGAAAGTGGCCGAGGCTCACAAAGAGATATGTGAAGTTTATGGCGTCGATTACTTAACAGAACACACATGTCAGAATTGGTTCAACAAATTTCGTTCTGAAGATTTTTCACTTGAAGATGACCAAAGTACTGGTCGACGTTCTGAAGTTGATGATGACAAAATCAAAGCCACAATTGAATCGAATCGTCGTATAACTGTACGAGAGATTGCAAAAAGGTTAAATGTATCGCACGCAACAATTGAATATCATATAAGATGTCTTGGACTTGTTAAGAACCTCGATGTTTGGATTCCGCATGAATTGAAAGAAATTCACTTAACGCAACGAATCGGTATTTGCGATACGTATTTTAAACGTAATGCGATCGACCCTTTTTTCAAACGAATTATCACCGGTGATGAGAAATGGATCGTTTACAATAATATTAATCGAGAAAGGTCATGGTCTAAGCGTGATGAACCAACACAAACCATATCGAAATCTGAATCACAACAGAAAAAGATCATGCTGTCAATTTGGTGGGACTAGAAAGGTGTTGTGTATTTTGAGCTGCTTCCAAGCAACCAAACGATCAACTCGGATGTTTACTGCCAGCAACTTATGAAATTGGAGGAAGCAATCAAAGTGAAAAGAGCAGAATTGGCAAATCGCAAAGGAATCGTGTTCCACCACGACAATGCGAGGCCTCATACATCTTTAGCAACACGTAGAAAATTATTGGAGCTTGGTTGGAAAATGATGTCGCATCCTCCATATAGCTCCGATCTTGCACCATCGGATGATCATTTATTTCGAAGCTTACAAAACTTTTTAAATGGTAAAAATTTCAATAATAACGATAGCCTCAAATCACACTTGATTGAGTTTTTTACTAATAAGGACCAGAAGTTTTATGAGTGCGGAAACATGAAGTCACCAGAAAGATTACAAAAGTCATCGAACAGAATGGAAAATATTTGACTGATTAAAGTTGATTTCTTGTATAGACAAAATTGAGTGTTATTTCACATTGAAATACCGAAATTACTTTCCTGATAACCCAATATATGAGCCGTTTATTTTGAAAGTGGCATAAGTCACTTTGTTTTTAGGTCAATATATTTAACGGTTTGCGTTTTAACACTTTTATAAATATGGATGCTTACTTTCGAGAAGATTTACTTGTATTTGTTATCTCAGGATATTTATTATTATTATTATATTATATTATATATATATTATATTATATTATATTATATTATATTATATTATATTATATTTATTATTATTATTGATATCTCAGGATATTTTTCTCAGTATAAATAATTTCGTATAAACATTAAAAAATCTCCACTTTTCATTACGGTAAAGTGACTTATGCCACTTTCAAAATAAACGGCTCATATACAAGTTATTTAGATTTATGTTATCATTATTATGGTCATATTTCACACAGAACATTATGATCGTACATACCATGGACCTGGACATACGTCTGCGAATGCTTCTCATACACCCACTCCTCTGCTCTGCACTCGTAAATACCTTCGTCCTCATAGGTTACATTTGTGACCCTCAATAAGGCTATCTTTCCAATCGTGTCATCATTCATATTCCGTGTTGCGTTCCAGGTAGTCACCCTGGCGCTCTGAAATATCAAATTGTTGTTTCGAATTCAACTCGGACCGGCGTGGATGGCGCGAATGAAACTCTTATATGCGATGGTAAATACTAGATGCTTCGGACGCCAAACTGGATGGTTGTAGTCTTTGTACTGCGCAAGATATATGGCACACTCTAGGAACAGAGTATTGCCCTGCATTTCGTGCCGCAAAGTATTATTGACAATTGTTGGTTGGAGCAGTATATTGTCCGCTAATTCTATAGTGAGAAAAATGTACCTTTGTTATTCAATGTTCTTCATTAATAGATCAAGTATTTCTATTTCATTTAATTTCTCAGATCAAGAAAGTAACTTTTCTTTCGCTCATAATTTTACTAAGGTCAAGATGGCAGAACGATTATTAAATAAAAAATAAAAGTACGTCTTCCACATATGGAAATCTTGTGAAGAAGGTTTCGTAAAGGTACACTGTGAGAGAAATATCATGCAACGAATGTACTCACTGGTCACGATTACATCGTACGAGACCTTTTGATCAGGACCTATGGTGCATACGTAAAACTCATCCTGACAGACTTTCTTAAGTGTAAATCCGATTTTTGGATCGAAAGTGTATTGTACTATGTCACCGTCCTGCAGAATGTATTTTATTAAATGACTTTCTCGCACATTAAGTCTACGTATTATCGTGAAGCCTACGCAATTATGCCTGAACCACTTAACTTTGTACATGATCAGAACAAAGCAATGCCAATCTTTTTCTTGACAGATTTGTCAAATTTCTCATCAATTTTCTTGCAAGTCTGTCAAATAATCTACGTAGGATAGCAGAGCCGGTTTCTATGGTGTGACCAAAGTACCGTGCCTATGGGTTGTTTTCGAGTTTAATTAACGTTCTATTGATCGGGAAAGACATTTTAAATATTTGCATTCGAAAGTAATCAAAATAAATTGATAAAAATATTTAATATGTCTTATTCGATAAATGTCGAGTTACTTACGCCCGAAAACAAAGCAAAAGCACAGTAATTGGTCACCATACAATAACCAGCTCCACAACCCTATTCAAATCCACAATAAATTTTTTGCAACTTCGCCAATTATACCTACTCCATCGAATTTGGTAAGCATGACTTTCGCTGTCGGCGACGTTGGTCTACATGGTATAACAATGTTTTTGCATATCGTTGTCACTAATTTATGGATAGTTGCTTGTTCCACAAACCGAACTGTTTTAGCTGAAACATAATTACTATTAACCCTTAAATGCATAGAGTCCCAAAAATGAATCAATAACTTTTTGCGCGGATACCCGACAACAGTTTTGATATCGATACATTTGGCTGAATGGCAGTGATTCCTTTGTCCATTGACTTATCAAAAATTAACTAAAATAATGACATTTGACTTCAATATTTGTATCTTTCTGACGTTATACCAATTGGCGCGCATTTTTGATAGCGGGTTCATTTACATACTTTTGGAAGTGGATTATTTAGAAATATTTTGGTGTATTCGTTAAACAAACAATATTTTCTAAAGGTAAGGCTCTTATTTATTAATTTGCTAGTACTTTTGTCTATATTCCGTAACTATCATGTGTATGGAGGGCTTATTTCGTGTTGATGCAAAAATGGGACAACATGCACTAATGGTAATAATTACGACATGTATTTAGTACTATGCTTCCTTTATTGGTTTGTTGGTTTTGTTTTGGTGTGGTATGCATGTGGTTTATAATTTTGTTATAGATATGTCATACTAACTAAAGAATTTTTATGTCTATTTTGCATAGTGTACCAAAAATGAATCATTAATATTTTTCAATAAAAACCCTATAAGATATGACTTATAATTTTTTTTAATATTTTTCCCGATTTCCACTCATTTGAAAAATTATAACCCTATTTTTTAAATAAAATTCATTAATTCATGCATTTAAGGGTTAAACATAATTAATAATCATTTGCAAAGATCACCGCAGATTTAGTCCACTACACTGCACTCGCCATAATTAGTACTTTGAGGGCTCTCCCTTGTTCGACACTGAGATATCGGACAATTTTTGCATGAACATTTACAATTTAATAGAAATCTGAAGCACACTTACACTCAACGTAGACATAAACCAAGCTGATTTCAGGATCGGAATAATTATGTCTGGTGGTCAGGATAGGGTGATACGAGCAACCGTACCAACCAGTGTCCCCAAAGACTGTATTCGGTCGACGAAAATCGTACCAGTAGCTCCCACATTCATCTTGGATTTTGTTTATTTCGACAGGTGATGTATAATATTCGAGTGTACTAGACTGTTTTCAAAGAATATGTTGCAATCATTTCACCTTTACTTTGCAAACTTTAACTTAAAATGATACTCTGTAAAATTATATTATGTTATTACTTCATCACTCACATGATACGATAGGTTGGTGGGATACGTGAAGAAGATGTCCGAGTTGCCGGAGCATTTTAGCCGCAGAGATTCGCCTTCTTTTATAACAATCTGGTCAGTTGTCGATGATATATTTGGTTTTATAGCTGTTGAACCTGGGGGAAGAACAGAAAGAAACGTATTTGATCAATAACAAAACGTAATTAATTGCCACAATGCATCTAATAAATAAATATAATAAATATAAATAAATAATAATAATAAAATAACAATAATATATATATGTATATAATATAATATATAATATATATATAATAATATAAAATAATAATAAAATAATAATAATATATATATATATATATATATATATATATATATATATGTATATAATATAATATATAATATATATATAATAACATAAAATAATAATAAATATAAATAAATAATCTAACAAATATGATTCGATTGAGACGATGTTTATAGATACGTTTACTTACTTCAATCCAAACCTAGAGATCGAAGTGAATATTATATACTGTAAGAGAATAGCAATAATAATGATAATAGTAGTGATAATGACAGTAACAACGAAACTTTAGTTCAAAATGTTTGCATACATAAATTCGTGGATCCGTTTGGACCCAATCCTGGTACTTTGCGTGAACGCCCGATCACCCTCACGCCGCGAGGGTTAATTATTTTCAACCAATCGAAGAAGACAATTTTCGCTTCTTGTATCGCTTTGCTACATTTCATTCGTTGACTTTGTTAACAGGAGTTTGGAATTTTCTTTCGATTTAGAAAAATGAAGAATGCTCTTATTTGATAGATTATCTATGAAATTTTTTTCACGAGAAATCTGACCCTCTGTTGCAGTTCAAGGGGTTACAATGTAATCGTTAATAAAATCTTATGAAAAATGTTCAAAACTTTTAACTCGTCATCTAGCAAATTATTGCTTCTAACGTCGGAAAAATATTCAAGTTGTTCCGTTAAATTTCGGGGTTGGGAGGGTTAAATTTAAATATAATTCAAATGTCTTTCAGAACCATCGTATGCTTGTCCGTGCATAGATTATTATTCGACAACATCGTTTAATTCACGCAAGTGCGAAACACATGCCCTCACATGTGCAATATTAACAGGAAACCCGATCATCACACGAGGAAGCTGCGGTAAAAAGCAGCCGACCGGCAAAGCTAGCGGAAGAACGTGTGATCTCATCGAGATAAGTTACGATGCACAGAAATTGCAATGGAAATAATATTTAATTTTCCACATAGTTGTTTAGACGAACACAGGTATGCAACATCGCACACGTGTCACCCAAATCTTCGAACTACCGATCGAAAATCCGAGTCACGTCACCTTTGTGATACTTTTAACGTTAAAAGTAGGACTGAAGGGCGCATGAATCACGCAGAAACATTAGTAACGGAGTAGCTAATTCGCGGTCGGATTACGCACAAAAATGGACAATTTAGGAAGAGGGGATTTTTATAGTTACCGATTGTCAACAATTACAAAAACGAGCCGCAAGGCTCGAATAATCGTATCTCCTCTTCCCGAATTGTCCATCTTCGTGCACAATCTGACCGCGAATTGGGGAGAATTTACTGTACTTGCTGGCCGAACGCTTCGTGGACCACGGAAAAAGTTGCAGTTACCTCTGCACAGGTATGAAAGAAGAACGACGGTAAAGATGAATCGTCGACGAGGGCCTAGCATTCTCCCCTGGTTCTTTTCTTGATGCTTCTTGGATTCTATCTATGACTGAGCTTGAACTGGCTTCTAGGAGCAGGTCACTCGTCGACAAGGATTGCGGCTACACTGTGCCGTCTTAGCTGAACGAATGATACTTTTCAAGATCTCCCCTAGACCACGACTTATCGACGACGATGTCATCTTAATCATAGCTCATTTTTATCTCATACTAAGTGCGAAGCTAACCGCAACTACCGTTATCTCTGTAATCCACTGAGGTTCGGCGGTTGGTGGTGTCTTTCCTTAAACCCTTAGCGCTCCGAAGGCTCCGCTACGGAGACATTTGTCATTTGTTCCGTAACTCCGAAAGCTCCGCTGCGGAGCGAAATGTTTTTAGCACACGTTATCGTCGGCGTTAGCAATTGTTATCTGTAGTTAAAACGTGCTAAGTCTGTACCGTTACGATTAAACCATTTTTCGAGCTTTTCTATGGTCAGCAACATGGAGAAAAATAAATATTACGATGAGAATTTAGAGCCGAGCGATACCGAAGACGTATTCGATTTTGAAGAGTTAAAAGACATCGTGGAAGACAGTGTTGGTTATGATTCTGACACTTCGAGTAGTAGCAGCGAAATTATACTACCAAAGAGACGAAGAATGAGAATTATCGAAAGTGAAAGCGAAGATTCGTTGCAAGACTTGGATGAATGGCGTGATGTTACGGAAGAATTACATGTTCCAGACAGAATACCTTTTAGTGTGTTGCCACAGGTCGTTGGACCACAAGTTCCTACAAACATTGAACAGCCGATACAATATTTTAAATTATTTTTCACGGACGAATTGGTAAATGAAATTATAAAGGAAACCAACGATTACGCAGAAAATGTTCTGAACTTGAAAGAAATATCTGGTAACTCTATTTGGCAAAGTGAATACTGTGACACTGGTTCAAGTAAACCCAGAATGCACATGCGAGATTGTTACCAAAGATATCGCACCATGGCGAATTAGAAAATTTAAAATTTATCTTTTATTTACAATAGGGAAATGTATATTTATAAAATAAATAATGTAAAAAAAGTATAATCTTTTCCGTTGAAAATAAGACTTCCTTTATCTCAGGCGCTCCGCTCCAAAAATGTGCCGGAGTTGCTGGTAGGCGGTATTCGAGAAACGCGCGGAGCGCTAAGGGTTAAAATATGGTCTGAATTAATAACTTCGTCCGATTTTCATGACAGTCGGCACTCGTGTGGTTTTCAGGTTGCTGATCATGTACATATATGTTATGAAAAGTGTAAAATTCAAGATGGAAAATCTGACGCCACCCTGACATAAGCACTGTTTTTTATTTATCTGTTGTGGATATCAATAGTTCTCGAATATTTTACTAAAATTATATAATTTGAATGCAACATTTAATATGGCTGTCTTAATTCCAATTTATAATACATATTTTCTCGATATATAATATTTATAATATGTTGTAATATTTATAATGCTTATAATATTTTATACGGTTTTTTATACGATTTATAATATTTTATACGTTCTTGATCAGTGTCTCTATCTCGGTGGAGTGTTGGCATTTGTAAAATGCACGATTATTAAAGGCACGATTATAAAAATTGAAAGATACGTAAACATCTGCGGTATAGTGACGAAAGAGTACATTGAAATGCATTCAGTTCATGTTACCATTTTCTTCCTTCTGACTGAAACGTAAACATATATTATATGATAAATATAATATAAATATAATATAAATATAATATAGGATAAAATATGGAAATAATAATAAGTACAGAAAGAAAATGCCGTATTGTATTTATGAGACCCACAGTCAGTACAAAAAGGGGGGCTACGTACCGAAAACTGATTAAAAACAAACATTTCTTTAAAATTCCATATAAACAACTTAACTTTTATTAAAAACATAAATATATGTACAATACAAAACGAAAAAAAATATAAATTACTTTCATTCAATATGTAACCTTAATTTAATAAATTTCTTCCTCGTCACTACTCTGTAGAATGAAACGAGAACGCTTTTTTCGGTTGAACAATATCACCTTCACTTTCTGAATCTTCTTCTTCATCCAGACTTTTTGCACCTTCCATCCTCTTCAAAAAACCTGCAATTTTGATTTGTTTGCTGGTTCTTACAAGGTCATCGTTGATTTCATAATATCAAAATACACAATTTCGCAGCTCCCTTCTGAATTTATCGATTTCTTTCAGCGGAAGGGTATATATTTATATATCCTTGATTATAATAATTATATTTTCATGTAAAGGCACTATAGTTCATTATTTCTTCCCGTCATATTATTTTAAGATAATTTAGTTTTTAAATATGTCAAACAAATATCATGCTATCCAGAGCCGTAGAAGTACAGTGTCGTAAAAAAGTTTTCGCAATTTTTTATCGCGTTAGAGCGAAACAGTGCTACAGTTTGCAGTGATATACGAGGATTTCCACAATTTATCCTATTATGTCAGGGCGAAACCGTGTTGTAAGAGGTCTACCTGTATAATGTATACAGTAAAATATAACAAGTACATTTTTCTCCAAGCGCCACGCAAATTCAAACGCAGAAATGTGATTCCAACTAGACAGTACTCTCACAATCGATAGACACTTTTAAGTGTATTGCTTCTCAGAAGCAATAGTTTCCGAACCTTCTTGATCTACGCATATTCACGTAATCGTCCCGAGTGCTTAAGACTGTCGGAGCGAAGCCCACCTCGAAAATCGGATTCCGGTTGAAACCCGTCCTCACCCCAACCTCGTAACTTTTTTAATTCAAATCTGTCAATTCCAAGTTATCTGGAACTTCGATCTAGATGCATTATCTGATTCATCACCACTCCTCTGTTCCTGGCAAGCTTTGCCCTCAGCTCGTGGACATTGATAGGTTCCAAATAGGGTTCTTCCTCCTCCTCCTTCAGCATAGGCGATGCGTCCACAGCATCCTTGAGACTCATGCTCAAGAAGTCAGAGCTCGCCGTGGTTCCAGATGCGGGGGAATTCGCGCAATCGTGAGTCGATGTAGAAGGAACGGCGTGGTCCGGAGCAGAGAACATCGTCAGGTAATCTTGCTTCCCGTCCTCCAACAGAGCTCTGTTCACGTCGAGGTATGGCACGTTTAATTCGATGTAGTGCTAAAATTAACAATTTTCCTTTCAATTCAGTCACGTACAGTTCTAATTTATTTATTTATTTACTCATTGGACGGGTCGTAGAGCCCTATTGAACAACATAAATAGTTAAGAAAATAACAATCCAACTTACCAAACTAAAATACGAACGTCTGATTTGAGTACCCGTTTACAATAAAGTGTTAACTTTGATTAGGTTACATTGGTGATTTTGAGATTTGATTGCCCACATTTATTGGTGGAGCCAGAAAATAAATCAATGTCGCCGCTTACTGAATTAACATAGTTACAAATTCTGGTAATAGCGTCAAAGAATCTAAGGTCAGCCTTGTAACCGTCAATTCTGAACAACGGAGATATTAACAGAGAGTTATTATCTTTCGAAATTATCGCGATCGAACATATTCTTTCTATACGATCACGGTCTCCAGGTACCCAGTGGATTATACGAAAACGTATTCAAGTAAACCATTCGTTCCAAGATGATTCCATTGATCTGAGTATTTCGATCTGTATGTAGTGATAAGAAGATCACTCAACGAACTTACCGTTCTTACATTGTCCTCCAACAATTTTCCTACACTGTTGACTAGATCCGTGAAACTCGGCCGTAGAGAAGGCTCGGCCTTCCAACACTGACACATTATGTCGTACCTAGAGATGATAAATTGCAAAGCATGAGTTATCGATTACAAATTACAGTACACGTACGGTCGTCGTACGATTAACAACGCTGATACAGTTGACCTTGTCANATAGGTTCCAAATAGGGTTCTTCCTCCTCCTCCTTCAGCATAGGCGATGCGTCCACAGCATCCTTGAGACTCATGCTCAAGAAGTCAGAGCTCGCCGTGGTTCCAGATGCGGGGGAATTCGCGCAATCGTGAGTCGATGTAGAAGGAACGGCGTGGTCCGGAGCAGAGAACATCGTCAGGTAATCTTGCTTCCCGTCCTCCAACAGAGCTCTGTTCACGTCGAGGTATGGCACGTTTAATTCGATGTAGTGCTAAAATTAACAATTTTCCTTTCAATTCAGTCACGTACAGTTCTAATTTATTTATTTATTTACTCATTGGACGGGTCGTAGAGCCCTATTGAACAACATAAATAGTTAAGAAAATAACAATCCAACTTACCAAACTAAAATACGAACGTCTGATTTGAGTACCCGTTTACAATAAAGTGTTAACTTTGATTAGGTTACATTGGTGATTTTGAGATTTGATTGCCCACATTTATTGGTGGAGCCAGAAAATAAATCAATGTCGCCGCTTACTGAATTAACATAGTTACAAATTCTGGTAATAGCGTCAAAGAATCTAAGGTCAGCCTTGTAACCGTCAATTCTGAACAACGGAGATATTAACAGAGAGTTATTATCTTTCGAAATTATCGCGATCGAACATATTCTTTCTATACGATCACGGTCTCCAGGTACCCAGTGGATTATACGAAAACGTATTCAAGTAAACCATTCGTTCCAAGATGATTCCATTGATCTGAGTATTTCGATCTGTATGTAGTGATAAGAAGATCACTCAACGAACTTACCGTTCTTACATTGTCCTCCAACAATTTTCCTACACTGTTGACTAGATCCGTGAAACTCGGCCGTAGAGAAGGCTCGGCCTTCCAACACTGACACATTATGTCGTACCTAGAGATGATAAATTGCAAAGCATGAGTTATCGATTACAAATTACAGTACACGTACGGTCGTCGTACGATTAACAACGCTGATACAGTTGACCTTGTCATTGGGAAGATTTGAAAATTTGCATTCGACGTAACGCCCGCGGGTCTAGTATGTAAGCTTACGGGAAAGTTAGTTTAAGGGAAACCCGCGGCAGATTAGGCACGGTGAGGAGTTCGCGAAGCCTCTGCAAGCAACAGTTTCTGTCGACGGACGAACCCTAGATGACGTCTGGCAGCTCAAAGTTGTGCAGCTACTCGATGAAGCACATTAGTTGTCATATGTTTAGAAAGTCAGGCATCTTTAAACTGTTGCCTTTAACTTGCTTTCGAATATAACTGACAAGGCACAGTTCCAAATCTTTCCCAAATAAAAAATCGTGAGTGAACCTACACTTCGGGCGTGGCATATTCTGGCTGCTCCATTCTGTAACCCTCGATCAGCTTTTGGTACACTATCTCCGTTTCCATTCCAGGATACGGAGTCTCTGCCAATGTGAAGAACTCCCATAGCACTATGCCGAACGACCAAATGTCCGATTGAGTGGAGAAAATTCGATCTCTCATAGTTTCGATGGACAACCATTTAATGGGCAATGGACAGTCACTTTTCTTTTCGTAAATTTCTTCTTTGTACATGCTCTTGGCCAGGCCGAAGTCGCATATCTTCACTACATTGTTATCGGCCAGCAGGATATTTCTAGCGGCCAGGTCACCGTGCAGTATCTGCATATTCATTTATAAGAAACGGTACATGAGATGAGACATTTGTTCAGAAACTTATGTTCAATCCAATTGAATTCTTTTTTTTTTTAATCATACTTCTCTGTTCAATTATCGTATAAATAGTCTGCGGGCTTTACGATAATTTGTGCTAAGTACGTATATAAAATTGCCAAGCTCAAGAAAACGTGAATAGTGTAAAAAATGTGACATTTTCGTTTTCTTTCGACGATAACAAATGTTTCGATTGGAAAGAGAAACTTTCTGTTTAATTTTGCCCTGATAGAATTATCTGCCGGAAGAAGTTGCAGGTACTCACCCTTCTCTGGCTGAGATATTCCATTCCACGAGCTACTTGGAACGCCCAGGACAACAGATCCTCCGTGTAAATTGGTTTTAAATTAGAGTCCTTGTAGTCTCCCCGACAGTCAGACCATCCAGATTGGGTGGAATCGCTATTAATTACTGGATGATCTGCAGACATACCGACTCCTAGGGAATTTTTAATTGCGGCCTGGCAGTGCACCGAATCAGAGTCCGAATTGCGGTTGTTACTGACAGAAAGTGACGATTTCACAGATTTTACCCTGTAGCGAGCAAACAGAAGAGAATAGGAAAACGTCAACACTTGAACCCTTCGCATGCACTAATAGTTTCATCGTGTTAATTACCGGAGCCAAATAGTTACATTTCGATGCATGAATTCAGTTAAGTGCATTTAATGTGATTGCGAATATCTAGTCATAATTTTAAATCGGTTAAACTGTGCAACAATTCGTTCTTTAGATGAAGAAAAGGACAATCTAAGTTAATCTACATTACATTTTATGAGTCGACAATGACAGTGTTATTTGCTAAACACCGAGTGTTCATTTACAACTACGTAAGATGTATTTCTCACCATAGTGTTGTTAACAAGTAAAAGGAAGCACGAGGAAAAAATTATAGCAACGAACCTGTTAGTGGTGCAGACATCGCCAGTTTGCTTCAGTAGGTCGAGGCCGATGCTGAGATCTAATATGCCAGTTGTTGGATCGATCTGATTGACAAAGTTGCTTCTGTGCTTCAACAAGTAATTGTGCAAATTTCCAAATCGACAGAATTCCACGATCACTAACAATTCATCTGGAGATGCAACAGGAATCACTTAAATACAGTTGAAATTTACTTACGCGATAAGCCTACAAGCTAACAATATAATGAATGACTTTGATTGTTGTAAAGAACGAAATATTTTTATGAAAATTGAAGAAAATTGAACAAACGAAATCCTGAATTTGCAAATAATTGACATCTTTACAAACAGCTTCGAACAACGAATTTTTTATGAAAGCTAAATAATTTACAATAAATAAAGAATAAGGAAATGTATCTTTAAGTGGTAATTAAAACTTGGTCCAAGCATACTGTAAATTAATTAATGGCTGGTAAACGTACATACGTTTCAAGATATTTTTTGTGTAAGCACCAAGAAGGTTGACTACGTTCAGATGTTTGCCGAGATGTACCATGATCTTGAGTTCGCTGGCAAGTGCACAGGTATAGAAAATATTAGGAGCACCGCGGACCATTTTCACCGCTACAGTAGTAGTTGCCTCGCCTTCGCAAATGCCCACAGCTTTCGCTTTTACGACTACACCGAACGCGCCGCTTCCTATTTGTTTTCCTGTAAGTCGAGACTACATTGTTATTAACGAGAATTATTAGCAAAACCTACTCGGTCTAATCAACATTTTCATTCGCCTTTCATCGGGCAGCGGATGATCTCGAACATTCCTGAACCTTTTAGGAAGTTAATTTTAGTGACTTATTTCCTGCGACGAGAAACACAAGACAATGGTGATCGCCGAGAACGTATCGCTGCATATGAGCTGTTTATTTTGAAAGTGGCATAAGTCACTTTACCGTAATGAAAAGTGGTGATTTTTTAATGTTTGATGGTAATGTCTGATGGTACATTTGTGTACAACACTCCAACCATTTGCACAAGTTCAAAAAATATTTAAACATACTAACTTCATCGGACTAATTCTGATTTACTTTGGAAAGTATACCGTCAAAGGACGAATTTCAATTGTATACTCAGCAATAGAAGGAACGTTTACCCAACGCAAAAACTATCGAGAAAAGTTTTCTAATCGAAGCGTACCTAATTTCAGCTTTTCTTTTGGAAATTCCCATTTCTTATCATAAGGGAGAAGATCTGCCTGATCGTCTACTGTCAAGTCCGGATTCAAACTCCCGACAGCTCCCTCCTCGAAGTGCATCAGACCAGCCTTCGTTAATTCCTTTCTCATTATCTGCAATACGATTAAAATTGGTGAAATTGTTCTGCGATCAAATGGCACACCACAAACCGCAGTTACCTTATCACGGCGAATCTTGACGGCGAAGTAGATCACCAGGATCAAAACGACCACCGCTAACACGACAAGTAAAATGTTCTGAACCGTGAATATTCTGAGCCCTGTTAATTAAAAAAAAGGTTCGAGTGTAATTTCTTCCTCCTGCGCGTATCTACATTGCTCAATTTAACCTTTTAGGCACGACGCGCCACTATAGTGGCTTCCGCGGATGTCATCTCTCTGAACGACGCACCACTATAGTTGGCTTACTTTAGTAGCTTACTCGGTCATCGTTTGAATCAAACAATCGTCTTCACATGCATTGTTTCACACTTCTTTTGTCTTCACATCGATTTACAACAGTCTACAGAGTGTCCCAAAAATGTCTCGCAATCCGTAAATGGCGGGTTCCTCGGATCATTCGAAGCAACTTCTTCCTTTACAAAAATTTTCTCCGAGGCACCGTTAACGAGTTATTAACGAAAAACAGTGACCAATAAGAATCGAGTACGGCTGACGCGAGGCGGCCCAGCCAACCAGCGCGCGAAGCCCAGTTCCGCTCATTGGCTCGATCGCCTCGCGCCAGCCGAGCTCGCCTCTCATTGGTCACTGTTTTTCGTTAATAAC